CAGGAATGCAGAGATTCATATATCTTACAATATTAAAGTCAGAAAATTACTAATACGTTTTGGTTGTGCTTTTTAAAATTATTCAGTCAGTAAATACTAGAATTCTTATATCCTTTTAAAACCAGAGTGGAACACCTTTGCAATTGAGCTTTGTGCTACTGCACAAAGGAGTGAGAATCGAACCTGGCCTCTTGTTCCTTAGACTAGGAGGAGATGTGAGGGGTGGTAAACACAATGTTCTCCACCACTTCAGGATAGCAAGGAGGTGGAGGCCATCTCGTATAACTTGCTGTTGAAAAAGAGCAAGATGGATCATGTGCAAAAATGTACAGTGTCATTTGTGTTTGAATATCCCTTGCCATGGGGAAAAGCAAGCAGGGGAGTATGAAGTATTAGATAGACATTGACAGCTATGACGAAGTCCTGTTTAACTTCTGCTTAAGTGACCCTAAAGTGAGTCTTCACAATGGGGGTAGAGTGGGGAAAGACTCTCAAAACTTTCAAGAGCGCTGTGAAGGCTTCACTCAGAGAATTAAGGATTGCGGTGAGGGAGCGGGGATGTAGCTGAACAAAAAGAATGAAGAAATGATCTGCAAATATGGTGGACAGCATAGAAGAACATCTTTCAGCCAGCTGAATTCCAGGCATGAGGATTACCCTAAACAGAAGTTCATAAACATACTAATCTTTCTAAGAATATTTGCATCTAATCTGTGTAATGGAAGGGTTTTTTTGTGTCCATATATTTTTGTAACTTTAAAATGAAGCTTATTTATCTGTTTGGTTTATACAACATATTTTCTGTATATAAAGAATGCTAAATTTCTTTATTACTGTGAGATTTATACTTTCTTACAGTGATATTTTAGTGGTTTTGTTCCCCCATACCAGTCATTGATTTCATTCATATCAAGAGTTGTAGTTTCCACTGTCAGCAATGTCATGTCTTTTTGGCTTCAAAGAATCTACCATATTTAATCATACTGTGCCCAAACTTTCTGTACATTAGTTTCTGAAAGAAATTTGTGTGTGCTGTGGGTTTCATTATGGTTAGATCTACTTCACCTTTTATTTGCTTAAACATTATGTTTGTCTTCAGCACCACAAATTATTCCATATAAAAATGCAAAAAAAAATTGGTGATCTTGGGAGAGAAATTGATACCCAGCTTACTTCCTAGAACCTCTGATTCATGCCTTTTCTGTTCAATGCTGATAACTCCGCTTTTAAATTAAATTATTTTGTGAGGCTTAAATCTGAATTCCACTAGATGGAACTTCATATTGAATAATATGTTTAAAAAACTCTACCTTGAATTTATTATATGAGTGGAAGGCACCATGTTATGCTTTATATAGGTACATATAATCTGGTGACCTATCAGACTTCCAACTGTGGCAATTTTATATTGTAGCCAAAGGTAGATTTCCTGTAGATACCATTGAGTATATTATAATTCCCTTCCTTCATAATATCCCTCTTTAGTACTGAGTACATTCAACATTTCTCTTCTCCACCTCCTCCCCCTTTCTGCCTACCACTTGGATAGTTGCACGGTAATATCTGTATTAACAGGTAAAAGTAAAATGGTTTTGAACAAATCAGAAGCCATTAGTAGGAGAATAGAAAATCTGCCATCTTTTTATATTTATGTCATAACTCTGTTGCTAGATTTTTTTATTATGTAGATCCATTATTATCAAAGTGTGATGCACAATTTATTCTTTCCCATTATGTATTAGCAATACAAAATCTGTAAACTCAACTTGACTACATGAGAAGCGGAGGAAGGGATATAGCTTCTTTCATTTGCCATTCATGTGGACAAAATGAATTAATTATGGTAGAACTTGCCTGGATTTGTTTCATCAACAAATGTTTTCTAAGCAACAGTTCAGGAAGTCAGATTGTATTTTTAAGCAAATTTAAATACTGTGAGCAAGACTTTAAAAAAAAAAAAATGGCTGCTTAATGTTAGATTCTAAAAGTTATAATTACACGTTGTACTAGATAGGGTGACATCTGAATGCATCAGATATCTAACGGCTCCTACCGTCTTCAGTGTTGAGAACTTAGCACCTTGGAAAATAAGAACAGCTACTTGAGTACCAAAATGTGGATTTAAAGCCTAACCCACATTTATGTAAAATAATGGCCTGTGTGAAAACATGCTATAGAAAATCCTTGAGAAACAGAACTCCTTTTCAGAGAGAAACTTATGTGCCAAGTGAAAATTTGGAGATCACTTAACCCAAAATTACTATAATTTGTCATTTTGCCCCAGATAAAATGAAAGTATATCAGCTGTAAACTCCTACGGTGCAGCCCCATTCTCAAAGATTTCATAGTAGCATTTAATGACATTGTTTTGAGAGGTGTGGACCTCCATCCAAGACTTGCAGTGCAAAGCTGATGTGTATTGGAAGTTAAAAACTACAAAGTGATAACAGCAGTTTTTGTGCTAAACTTTTGATGTACCTCCGAAAGTATGAATTTCTGTACTTGCACGCCACTCTAACATATCCCCAGAAGGAGTTGCATTGGGAGCAAAATCGGATGTTTGGACAAACCGAATGTTCCTGTTTCATCTTAAAAGGCTTAATGAATAGCAGTTTAAAGAGTTCCAGTGGACTCTAAACAGGCTAACCCATTGTGCACGGTTTAATTTCAGAATACAAATGTAGTTGGCTTCAGCTGCATCAGAGTACTAAATGTTAGTCATTCTGTAAAGGAATGTGTAAAAAGTATCAACTGTAAAAACTGCTAGCTTCTTTAGAACATGAAGCAAGACCACCCGAATTAAAGCTACTTGTACAAAACAATGCAATTACAGCAGTTTGAGGCATAGGTCATGTAGTAATAAAGTGAAATGATGTCACAAACACAGGTTGACACACGATATAATAATGGTTTTTATTTCATCACTGAGAGAACATGTTTCTCTTAAGTGGTTGCAGTACATCAGGTACATGTTGCTGAGTTCTTCATACATTTTTAATCTTAGTATGTATGAGTAGGCTATAAACTCCGGAAGCCATTTATATTTTCTTCCCTATGAGTGTTGAATAAATGTTGAACTTTGCCTCACATAGTTCTTCATGATGGCAATTGTCTTTTATGCCCAGTGAATTATTAGTAGGAACTATGCTTCAGCTAAAGTGGTACAGAATGAAGCAGCTAGGAAACACATGACCTGAAATGTATATTAAATGTGTTTTGAACAAAGAAAATGAGCGTAAAATGGTGTGAGCAAGATACTTCACTGATGTCCATAAACATGGATGAACAAGTCTGTTTTATGCCTGGAAAGGTAAATTTTAAAAAGAACTTGGCACAAGACCAGTGAAGCAACTGTTCTGAATTTTTTTTCTTAAATCGTTATGGTGCCTTAAAGGTAGGTACACTTAAACAAGAAGCCTTGTGCATTCAAATTTACCAAATGCTTAGGTTGATCATTTTTCTACCCTAAAAGATTAAAGAGTTAAATTTATACCAAGTTTCATGTACAAGGTACATTCAGATTAGTGCCATATTTTTTTATTTAACACTCCAAATTTAGTTACGAAGTTTATGGACTGTGTTTTGGAGTAAAACGTAATCCAACGTAAGGAACTGTAGTAGAACCAACAACAATGCATTTCAGGCTGAAAGTTTGGGCGGTTCACTTAAAATCTGTTAATCTGTTCTGGGACTCTCTGATCTGATCCAAGTTTGAAAGAAGAAACAAGGTTTTGAAATCTTACATCACTTGTGGGATATAAACCACTGCAGTTCGTCTGCTCCTGGACATTGAGAAGTGGGGGAAATTGAGAAATTAGGGTATTAGTGGTCATTTAGAAAATGAGGTAAAGCATGTTTGTGTCTATTAACCTCTAAAATATTATCATATCTGCATCTGTCCAAATATAAAACAAAAACATCTACCTGCTTCACTAAACTAATTACATCAAAACATGTCCATTTTATCACATTTCAGTTCACTATAAAATACTTTTGCATTAAAATATAAACAGAGACTGTCTTCACTGAAGCAGAATGAAATATTTATGCATATTGATCATATACTCAGCATTATACAAATCTAGGGAAACATTTTGATCACAAAATAATGCGACTAAGAGCATGCTTACCAGTATAGCGTGATGGAAATTTCTAGGAAAATACCAATGAAAAGAAAAAAGAAGAATGCACCACCCTGGCTTTAACTAGTAAGTCTTTTACTTAGTAAATCAAAGGTCTGCCTGGAAAAAAGGCAGGAAGATGGACAGCCACATCATAGACTGGAGCAGCCACTGAAATCTTCATCGCTCTCCTGATAGTCTCCACTAACCAACAGAAAAACAAATAGGTTAATTATATTGCCATTAATATGGTAATTCTGTGATGAGTATTCTTGTTCTAAGGAACAAATTTAATTGGGAATAATAATGAGTAGTAACTGGGAATTAGACTGAGTACTACAAGGGAGGAGGGAGGATTGGGGGATAGCATTGGACTCTTGGATCATTTCTTGATGTCTCACAATCTAGATGGCAGAGAGGCTCTAGTATGCATAGCAGACAAATAGATTTACAGGAGAGAGAAACTATAGCATGAATTGAATTGAGGGGGGACTT